TTTTGTAATAAAAAGTCATTGTAAAAATTTTCTTTTATATAAAAAGTTGTTGTATTTATTTTTAATTTTTCATTTTTGTTTTATTTTCTTACAAACTAAAAAACCTCTTATAAAATACAAAATTTTACACGGAAGACATTTGATTATTAAAATTGCCCTATACAACTAAAGGAAGACATTGATCACTACAATATTAACCTAATATAAGCAATCACAATAAATTAATTAATTTCAAAATTGAAATTTTTTCCTACGAATAATTAAAAAATTGCTACAATTGAATATCAATTAAATTTTATGTTTGTAAATTTTTTCTTTAAACGAAAAAAAGAAAACCCTAAAAACTAATATCACCACATGTAAATGTCATTAATTAATTAGTTAAAGCAGTTCAAAACAAAATTTTCTCCACAAAAAATATTTTTTGAGAAAATTTGCCTGAATTATTAAAGCTGATACCCTTTGCCACTCACAAGAGAAAAAATTAAAAAAAACTAATTTTTCTCCACCTTTCACGGACGATTTTCTTCATTTAGGCCTGGGCCCATCGATCCAATTGTGAACGCATTTTCATTTCTTGCTGCTGGGCCATATCCATGGAGGTCCAAAAGAAGGTGCCGCTATCGGTGCGAGCAAAATGCACAGGAATGAAATTTTGGGTTTGGCTAACGGACACAACATGTTGCTGTTGACCCTGATGGACGATGACGGCAGCATTGGCTGGGCACTGACGGATTTCACTGTACAAACGCTGCTCCAAGGCTTCGTTGGCCACATTGTCTTCGGCCGCATTCAAGTAGACGGGATCTTTACGCATATCTTCCAGACTGGAATTGTAGGTGTTCTGTTGAATTTCAGCCAAAGTTTTGCGTAACAATTGCTTCTTCTTCACGAGCCTCAGGATGGGTTTGACCAGCTTCTTAAAACTGCGCATGGCCATGGTGTGTTGATCTTTCTTTTGCATTTGTAGGGTGGTATTGAATTTATATTCACGAGTCATGAAAGACATTTTTGTTGTATTTATTTATTTTTTAATTTACAAAAATTAAATTGAAAATTTCAAGAGAAGACTTGATATGTCTGTTCTGTTCAACGTTGTTCGATAAACTATGCTCTAACATGGAATTGTCTCCGTTTTTATAGGCAGTTTACTCTGTGCATGCTCAGTATGCATGGCAAAGAGCGCACACACTCTCTTGTGTGTAGCCAACCAATCACAAGCCGTTTTGAGGCAGGTGTTTTTTCTAAGTCGCTCTTTTTTCTTGCTTGCACTTGTGTGTGCTGTACTTTTCTCCCCCCAAAAAGACAAGAAAAGAGATTAGTCTCTGCTCTCAGGGAATTTCTGGCTACCTGCTCTGGATTAATTTCAATCCCAATTTTTGGGGGTTGTTTCAGTTATTTTTTAATTCAAACTCGGCAGGGGACCTGTTCCCTTCCATTTCTAATGTAATTTGATCTCTTTCTTTTTTGGGATCGAAAAAAAAGGTCCATTAAACAAACACTTAAAAGCTGTTATCCGAAAGAGACATCTAGAAAAAATCGAAATCTTCTAATGGAAATTTAAATTGGTAGCCTTTTTTCTTTGCAGGAGAGCATTTTTTTGAGTTGTTCGTTTTGAAATTCAAAATATTGTTTTAGATTTTTGTTATTATGAAACCAAATTGATTCTTATTGAGATCTTGTTTTTTCTTTAGATAGTTTGAATGGGGGGAGAGCAAGATTCTTGAAGTAGGAGATGCTTATTTGAATTTATCCAAAATAAGAAATCCTTTAAGAAATGCTCTCTAAGGACTCGGATGGGAGACGGACCTAGCAATTTGTTTTTAAAGACTCAGATGGGAGAGGGGGCCATAACAATTTGTTTTCAAAACAAAACTGAAGTAGGTCATTCATTAAAGTGGGTATGAGGAGGACCTCTTCTTACATGAATGAAAAAAAGACAAATACAATTGTCTAATTTGCAATTGTAGTGTAAAGGCTCCCCTGCTAAATATAGGTCATTGATAAGCACCCAGGCTATTGAAAAACACTGCAGAATACGCATAGGTGCTCAAACAATATTATTTAAAAGTCCATACTTATAGTAGGACCTTAAAAATATTATTTTCTAATTTGTAATTGGAAAGGAATACCTTCCCTGCTAAATAAAGGTCAATGACAAGAACTCAAGTTATACAAAAGGTAGGGTAGGCCCTCAATATTGTTTGGGACATATATTCAGGATTTTGGATGGAATCTCGAAAAAGTTGTCTACAATAAATCCAGGTATTAGATAGGTAATCCAAAAATAATGTTTAACAAATCACGGTTTTGGAAAAATATTATTGGAAATGTCCAGGCCAAGCCATCAAACATAGGATTTATGAAAACCAGGCTTAGGATAGGTACTCGAAATATTTTAATTAAAAAGTACAGCCATAGGATATATCCTCAATAAATCCACTCTTAGAATTGGTCAGCAGAAAATATTATTTCATAAAATACAGAATTAGCGAACGGCCTCAAAATATATTTTATAAAAATTTGTACTTAGAATATGATTTAAAAATGATATTTAAAATATTCAGTGTTAGAAATGGACCCCAAGGGTTAGGAACAGGCCCTAAAGAAATATCATAAAAATCAATGCTTAAAATAGCCTCTAATAAAATATTGTAAATCCAAACCGATTTTCAGGAAAATTAACTCACCTCATTCTAGACCCAATTCATTGCGCTGTACCAAATTTCGTGCAAATCGAAAGATATTAAGGGACTTCGGTACAACATTTACCTTAAATCGGACGATATATATGGGAGATATATCCACAAATCTGGACACACATCATTCTAGACTTTATTCAGTACGTTATACCAATTTTGTGAAAATCTAAATATATATAGGGACTTTGTTACACCATTTACCTTAAATCGGACAAAAATATATATGGGAGCTATATCTAAATCTGAACCGATTTTTTCCAATTTCAATAGGGTTCGTCTATGCATATTCTCAAAAGGAACCCTGGGTCTATCTCGTTCTCTTTTTCCTGTTACAAACATATGCACAAATACATAATACCCTTACCACAGTGTGGTGAAGGGTATAAATATGATCTCAAAAAATATATTTCAAGAAAACTAGGCAGGCTTAGAATAGTCTCACGAAACGCAGAGTTTAAAAAATTCTTGGATTGGGAAGAACACTTAGAATATTTTACTTCGGAAATCCAGGCTAGGATAGATCGCCAAAAATTATTAGTTAAAAAATCCAGAAAAATAGAATATTATTTTACAAAATCCAAGCGTGGACTGGCCAGGTTTATAATAGGCCCCTCAAGAATGTGTTTTAATAAATCTAGGTTTAGTAACGACTCATAAAAATTTAAAAAAAATCAGGCTTGGAATATTTCTTCGCAATATTTCAGAAAATGCAAAGTAAAATATCTGGGATTAAAATAGATCAGATATGCCTTGAAAGTGTATTCATAAAAAATAATCCACTCTATGGCAGGACCTCCAAAAAATATTCTTTAAAAAATAATCCACTCTATGGCAGGACCTCCAAAAAATATTCTTTAAAAAATAATCCACTCTATGGTAGGACCTCCAAAAAATATTCTTTAACAAATCTACGCCTTGGTAGGACTTTACAAAAATATTATTTAACAAATAATCCACTCTATGGCAGGACCTCCAAAAAATATTCTTTAAAAAATAATCCACTCTATGGTAGGACCTCCAAAAAATATTCTTTAACAAATCTACGCCTTGGTAGGACTTTACAAAAATATTATTTAACAAATCTACGCCTTGGTAGGACTTTACAAAAATATTATTTAACAAATCTACGCCTTGGTAGGACTTTACAAAAATATTATTTAACAAATCTACGCCTTGGTAGGACATTAGAAAATTATTCTTTAAAAAATCTACGCTTTGGTAGGACTTTAGAAAAATATTCTTTAAAAAATCTACGCCTTGGTAGGACTTTAGAAAAATATCCTTTAAAAAATCCACGTCTTGGTAGGACTTTAGAAAAAATCTACGCCTTGGTAGGACTTTACAAAAATATTATTTAACAAATCTACGCCTTGGTAGGACTTTACAAAAATATTATTTAACAAATCTACGCCTTGGTAGGACATTAGAAAATTATTCTTTAAAAAATCTACGCTTTGGTAGGACTTTAGAAAAATATTCTTTAAAAAATCTACGCCTTGGTGGGGTCTCAAAAAATATACTTTAAAAAATCTACGCCTTGGTAGGCCATTGAAAAAATATTCTTTAAAAAATCTACGCCTTAGGGAGCCTTGAAAAAAATATCCTTTAAAAAATCCACGTCTTGGTAGGACTTTAGAAAAATATTCTTTAAAAAATCTACGCATTCAAAAAAAAAAAAAAATATTCATAAAAATCAGATCCTCGTTTTGCTATATCTTGAAAAATAATATTTTTAAATTCCACTCCCCGATAGTGTTGCTTAATAATTCCTTGCTCCACAAAGCCCTGAACAAATTTTTATAAAAAAAATTTACCTTATTTACCAGAGCTAATTTCAGGCTTAGAATTTTAGTGCATTCTTTGAAATTCCAAACTATACTAAACCTTGAAAAAATATAGACATTCAAAAATATTCTTAGCCTTGAAAAAAATGTTTAAGCCACGCTCTTCCACGTCTCGGGCAAATATTTATTAAAAATCGAAAAAAAAAAATATTTTTAACACAGGCCCAAAACCTTAAGAAAATCCGCATTTGTGGTATATATAGTCCCCAGATTGGTAGTAAGGAATATTTTCAAACTCCAACCAAATCTCGAGAAATAAAAAAAATTATATTTTTTAATCACAGCCACTGATGTTCTTTATCCCAACCTGTTTCCTGGATTTTCAAATGATTTTTCTCTTAATGCAAAAGGAACTTCCTTAAAATTACAGGTCCTTGGAAACGAAAAGTCAAAAACACAGTGGAAGTATTTCCTTAGTCTAGTCACGTATTTTACTAATCCCATAGAGGAGAGACCCCCCTCTTAGCAACAGCGACATAAATCATGGTTAGAACAAAAATAAACACCACAGGATATAATTTAACACCACTAACTGTTAGCTTCTAACTAACTAACGAAAAAAGTTTTTACCCAAAATCCTCAATCCTAACAAGTACATGACAAAAATTCCAGAAATTCTCTAACTAACAACAATTTCCCGTGTTGTGGTCGTAAGGAGTAGAAAAGACAGCAACAATGACAATAACGACACTTAATGGCGACAGTATTGGAAAATTTATGACAAGTTTTTCTTAGGAAAAACCCCCTACAAGTTATTGTGGCAAACTCTAGTCTAGTCATCCTAAAATAATTTAGACCCAGTTAGGAGACGTGAGCAAAGGCCGAATGTCGACAAAACATTAGAAATACGTTGGGCATTTTGTTACCTGCTTTTTGTTGGTTTTGGCTAAAAAAGGTCCTTACTAACGAAAATTCATTCACTACTACTTAATATTTAAAAGGGATGGATAGACGGACGGACGGATGGACAGACAATCTATCGAATAGGCGACGGACATTGTCTATCGAAATGCAAAATTAATACAAATTAAGTAACCTTCAATGCCAAACCAACAATTTGTGTGTGTAATTCTCGCTCTATCTCCCTTTCTCCTCTCTCGCTCTCTTTCATTCTTTCCTTCTAACATTTGTTGTTGCTGTTGTGGGTTATTTTTGCTTACACAAGTGTTTGGTATTTTTCGTTCGTCCATAAAATGCCAAGTGAATAAGTGATGTCCCCTTTTTCGGTATTTGTAGTAGTTGTTGTCATAATCCTGCTTTGGTTTTGTTGTTATCCTTTAGTATTGAGATTTAGCATAAGAGCTAAGCATTGTTGTGTGACGAATTAGTATTCCATTTAGCATTGTTTTTGTTGCATGAAGTCCCTTTTTTTAGGATTTTAAGCAAAATTGTGCATGCCCAAGCACGTAATTTTGTTTTTGGGTTAAGGATCTTGGCGACAGCAAAGCAGGTAGAAAACAAATTGACTTGCTTTTTAATGCCAATACAGTAT